CCTCTTATTTTGTCTATGATGGCTCCGCCCCCTCCGCCCCCGCCTCCGCCACAGTCTCTTATCTTGTCTATGATGGCTCCACCTCCTCCGCCCCCGCCTCCGCCACAGCCTATTATCCTGTCGATGATGGCCCCACCTCCTGTACAGCAGCCGTTGGCCCCACCTCCTGTACAGCAGCCGTTGGCCCTACCTCCTGTACAGCAGCCGTTCGTATTGTCAGTAATGGCAGGTCCGCAGCAGCTCCCGGAGCCGATGATGGCGGATATAGGCGTACAGCCGACTGAGCAGGTGGAGTCACAGAGTGTTCAGCTTGCTCCTCAAAGTGTTCAGCTATCGCAGATGCCTGTAAGCGGGTATCAGCCGATCAATATATCGCAGGTACAGGCACCAAGACAAGCGTCTGCACCCGCACCTGCACCGACAACTGGACAGTTACCTAAATCGGGTCTTGCTCCTCCCACTGCGGGTCCTCCAGCGGCAAAAAGTGCACTAGCCCCGAAGACCTTAAGTAAGGCGCCGGTTAAAACAGCGGCGGTAGCGGGAACTCCAAATAAAATGCCGGTACTACAGAGCAAAACATCAGCGAAGGCGCCAGCAGTAGCAAAGAGCGGCGCGAAGGACCCAAAAGGTCCGTCCTGGCTGAAAACGAAAGGCAAGGCTTAAGTACATAGCTTACGGCTACGGGAAACAAATTACTACCGGAATAAGCACAAATGAGTGATGGAATGAGTCTATATGAAACAAATGCGGTATGAGACAAATGCTTTTTTCTTTGTTTCTCAAGTGTTTCTTAAATCAAAGAATTAGGCACTGCTTGGGGGTTTCGGGTCATGACTCCAACGTTTCGGGTCGTGAATACGCTCGTAATGAAACCTAGGCCACGAAGTGTCTTAAACGTGTGTTCCTAAGATTCCTAGGGAAGTTTTATGAAGGTTCTGAGGGAAGTTTTATGAAGGTTCTGAACCCTCTCTTATGTGGTCTTAAGAGATTCATTTGCCTCCGAACACTCTTGTGGATAAGTTTCATTTACCTTTAGTATGGTAGAGTAGAAAAAAAGAGAGTTTTCCTTTAGAAAAAAAAAAGCACAGACTTTTCCTTTTGGTATAGTATAGTAGACAAAAAAAAAACAAAGACTTTACCTTAGTTTTCCTTTAGTAAGAAAAAAGGTAAAGATTATTATAATATATATATATATATATATATATATATATTATGTAGGGTTTTATTAATAATTAATGAATGTCGTATAATTAAGCAAAGAACAGTAGTAGGGTAAACCGTAGATCTAACAGTGTAGAATGAGTTCAGGCCGTTTCGGAGAAGTTATGGGAATAACTTCTGGGAAATTGGAATGAAAAATATGCTTCTACTATAAACTCTGGTCTTCAAGGGTTCTGAAGAATTTATTTACGCTCCTCCAACACGATCATAGCTTTAGCGTGGGGTCGTACGATCCGCAACAGCTCTGTATCCCATAAATTCGAAACGGAAGTCCGTTGACGAGTACCACAACTCCACCTGCAGTGATTGTCTAATATAGTTCCCTTTAGGCTTCCTCACTACATGGAGAGCACCCTATTCGGTGCTCTGCATACAGTATGAGTTCTGTCTTCGGTACCTACCGCAATGTAATGTCAACGTTACACTGATTATCGAAGACCACTCCACCGATCACAGCAGATATAAAAGCTTGACATACTGTGTATTTATGCAGATCCTGCCGACATTAGCACACCAACCATCTAGTCATCGCATACGAGCTTCGTAGGGTCGTGAAGTATAGCAGATGATTTTTCATGTCGACCAATCGTAAAAGGTACGATTACTCCTTCACGCTTTGAACGGGACGCCTCACAACGGCAACCTGTCGCGCCCCTACAGAAACTGCTTTTCCTGCACGAAGGCCTACATCTCGGGGCGTATAATATCTTCTCGGGCCCGTATTTTCCGTAAGACCAGCACTGGGCTGAGCCTGGTAGAAGCAAGTCCGAATAGGCTTTCGAATACCAAAAGGCTGTCTGTACCTTTAAAGTCTAAATCTTAAGCTTCCGAAAGTACAGAAGCGGTGCCTTGATTTATACCCTCTGTCAAATGATCCTTCATACATTCCAACCTGACAGTTTGGTCGACTACTTTATTTATCTACGATCCCTCGACAACAACAGTAACCGTGTTCGATGATTCTCTTGCTGCCACGAGACTTTGTGTCGTCGCAGTGAAAAAAGAAACTGACTAAAATCCGTTCGTTCGACATATAGCGACAGCGATGGAACTACCTAGGTCTTAAGACGTTAAACGATATAAACATACATTCAATATTCATATACTAGAATGATATATACAATGTCATCGCACAACGTGCGACGTTATATGAACATTCATCATGTATTGTATTCACGCGGAGTCCATATTAGTTTTTGCAGACCAATGGCTAATACGACTAATTTTCTCTGGTTCTGCTTACCCCTTATTTTAACGTGAGTATGATCGACGACGATCTCACGAAAGATCATCATGTTTAACTACTCGTTGACGTGGCTAGGTTAGGTTAGCTTTAGGTTAGGTTAGGTTTAGATTAGGTTAGGTTAGGTTTAGGTTAGGTTAGGTTTGGTTTAGTTTAGGTTAGGTTAGGTTAGGTTAGGTTAGGTTAGGCTAGGCTAGGCTTTAGTGGAATTCCTCCTAATTTTATTTCATACTGTGCTTACATATCGTTGTAGAATTTTCAGCTCAAATTAAAAAATCTGAATAGCAATTTCTAGAACGTTTATTTTACAGAGCCGGGACTACACCGTTAAGTAGGTTTTGTACTCCTATTACTAACCTACAAAAAAGCAACGACTGAAATAATTGTTCAGTGCGTCGATAGATAAGGACAAACACGCGTCAGATCGCTAGCACAACTTACACACAGCTAATGCAGATGTGTGTAATAATATTGAGGCCTAAATTTAGCTATTTTTTTTTATTTATAAGTTAGCGAATGTCATTGGAAACGCTGATCTTTCCTAGTGCCTATGGGTATTTTGGTGGCTGACAAATAGGTATGTGGTGAACGGTCGATTAAGAGAGACGTTCAGACCAAGGCGTTGCTCCATTGTGCATACACTACAGTATGCATTACATTTCTCCTTTACATCTCCATCCGATCTGCAGTCAGATACAAGTCCCAATAGTGTGCGCTGGGCAGACTTACTAATCATTTCGAATTCAATAGGATACAGCAATTATTAGATCTACTATGAAATACTATAAAGATTAAAAAAAAAATTATATCCCATTGAATTTGAAATGAGTCGGGCAATCATATGCTGCTCTTATTATTTACTGACAGTTAGTCGAGCGAGCACTGACTGACTAACGTCGTTCGTGTTCCTTAGTTTTCGGATTCCGATACAGATAGTAAAAGGACAGGCGAGTCATGATAGCTTTATTTAATATTACCCTAGCGTTGCTCTGATATTACCCTAATAATAATTATTACTATTAGGGTGATAATCAAGAGGATTATTAACATTGTGGAAGCCAGCGAGTGTGAAATACGTGACGAGTTCTTGGCGAGCACAGCAATGACCGCGATCGTTCGACCAATGCGGGTGCGGGGAACTAATTCTAATGAACCGAACATTCTAACCAATTCTAGTCAGCCAAACGACTGATGGTAAAGATATAGGGTAATATTAAAAATAACAATAGTAATACTAATTTAGGATAAAAGATCATATTAATATCCTCATATTACCATAATATTAGCCTAATAACAGCTATTGACAATATTCAAATAATAATTATTATACTTACATATTGTACTGCATTATAAATGATGGCTACCATATAATGTAGAGAAACTTACTCTATTGACGCCACTTCTAAATGCCGATATTCTTGCGAGAAAAAATCGATTTACGAAGCTGTTGCTATGTTGGAATAATTTGTATCTGGCCGCGATCTACATCGTATTAGATGTGCCATTGATTGGATATGAAACAACGATACATTTATTTTTATAGAACCCCCAGACACACCGCCTGGGCCATAAAGCTGACGTATCGTGGTGTTCTTTTTTATTGACAATTCACCCTAACGTATAATAGGCGCGTAACTTTGCGGTAGCAAACAAAGCCGAAATTTTGATCATATCTGATATGGCACGACCTTTAACAACAACAAAATAGGACGGTCTTCGAACTAACGAAGTCCTTCAAGCCGCACAACGATTAGTTAACGATCTCGGAAGTACGTACATGAACATGCAAACAGAACGCTTCTGAAAGTACGGAAGGGGTCGGAGTAGCGACAATTTCGTCGTTTGTTAACCGAAGCGTGTGACACGTTCTCAGCCAATGCAATGCGTGATTATTGTTCTGGCCAGGCTTGGCCTAAAACAACACATGAGTGAAGCATCCTTGGTTACAGCTGTATAAAGCAGTAACAAACTGTTCCACAGGATTGCTTGAAAGATGTCAAAGAACTGGCTATTCTTAAACGGAAAACATTTGTTTACGCCTTTTTGTTTGCTAATGGATGTCTGCTTTTGATGCACGAAGCAATGTTTGTGTGTAGCCCGATATGACGTATTCCATGCGGCATATAGGCAAAATTAGTTTACCTTGTTAGTTCTAAATCTAGTTCCTAAGCTAGAAATTGTGTGGTCTACCGTGAACTTTATTCCCAACGAAAAGTAAACGATTCATCCATAACATGTAATAAACATTCACCTTGTAATCCAGTAGACATTCGTTCAGCCGTATATATCTACCACACAGTAGACTATATTCGGATGGTTCCGAAGGGAAAATATCATTACCCAGTGAATGTTCCTGGTATAAGATAATGAATTTGAATCTGTAGATTCGATGAGGGTCCTTAAGTTTCAAATCGAAAACTTATTGAACTTGAATTTCTTTGTGCTTCTGGTTTCTCCTCTAATTTTTCGTTCATATTTCTGCAGTTCTTGATTGATGCAACAAGTCAATCATAACAGGTATCCTAAAAAAATTCACTACATACGTGTGAGAGGAAAATAACCAATCAGAAATGTCTGTCATGTACAGTTGAAGCGAACGAAGGCAGAACTGCTCAAACGCTCGGCGGGGAACCTCCTTATTGGAAGTAACATACGGAAGTTCAAACCGTGAAAGAGGCTAGCTCTTTTGTATATCAAAGGCATACAAAACAGAAAAACGTGTCATTATTTAAAAAATCGAAGGTATTGCGGCTGTATATATAAGTAATGGTTTGTTCGTATTAGAATTCAGCTTTTTTCCTGAGATTGTTATTGTCGTTGTTGTGTTTTAATCGGCTGAAGCGAATCTAAAAACCAGTCCTATACTTTCTGAGGATATTTAAAAAAAAATGCAATGTTTCATATGCCTTATGTGGCTTATAAAATGCTTTGTCGTCTAATCAACAGCCAAACAAAAAAAAATTTCCACAAAATAGAAAATAGCTCGAACTAGTGAGGTGCGCTCTGTGCTCGATTCTGTAGACTGATGTCATACAAACTGAATGTATTTAAAACCACTGTATTTTTAAGAAGACGGCTGAAATTTCAGGTCCCCGAAATTCTCCAAATTTTTCTGGGGAAATCTCAGGAAATAATACATTTAGTAGATGCTAGATTATTCTAAAGCCATTAAACTCAAGCACGATCCATTCGAGACATAGCTATCTCACGTGATATGGGTGTGACCATAAGGTTAGTGGTTAAGTTTATCTACTGGTGACCGGTTGTTTGTTGCAGTTTTTTAGAGCTATTTATGAAAAATTCATTCCTGCTTGCGAAAAGCAGAACTTATTGTTCAGTTTTTGCTGGCCTTTCATGTGGGGACCTGCGTAGGCGAGTCGTCCATGATGCCAATTGAAGCCTTGTGACGAGCTGAGTCAGCACGTCCTTATACCCAGAGACGAGTTTTCATGGCGAAGGAGGATGGAATACGATGAATATACCTGTAACCTTAATTTTTACTAATGTTAATTTTTTTCTAGCAACATTTAAAGAGAACGCGAGCACCAGCATTGCCACATACGCCGATGTCATAAAAGTGCAATTTGCAAAGTACCCAGGGAAATCAGGGTGCGACTACAACTATAGTTCCTAACTTAAATAAGAGAAAGTGTTGTTTCTACACAAACGATGCTTCAGCCGAACCAATGTACGACATCCAATGTACAAAGTGAGTTGATTTTTTTCTCTCCGAATATCCGTGCCATTTTTAGTTTTGAATTTTCTGGGCCTTTTTGGGACCTTTTTCACAGATACCTCCAATAAGTTGTAGCGAACAGACTATATGCAAATTTTTTTGCCTGATAAAATGGCGGCTGAGGGTTTACAGGGTAGTCTATATCATTCTTGTTATTAATTCAAGCCTTGCAACGTATAATTGATCTTTTAGCTATGATCGAGTCTTCGCCGTGAAACAACCGAAAAGGACAAACCTAACGTTAGCTTCTTAGGCTTATTTTAGCTCATCCCCTTATTATCCTATTTTTAATTAAAAATTCTATGAAAAACAACTAGTTCTGAAGCGCTAATATAGCACATAAAGATAAAGAAAACTAGTTTTAACTATATAAAGCACTTTCCCCGGGAAACGTTTCTTTCTCGAGCGTCCAAAGTGCCCCACAACTTTAGGCTATGGAATATCATAGGACCCTGCTTAAACTACGGAGGTTGTGAGGCGCGCTTGGCTTCCTTTCTAGCCACACAACGTCCAAATAGACATTATTGCTTTATATATACATCATTGGTACACTTTCCATTAGACTTCCTCATTATAAACATGCTTTTTTATGTAAAAAAGGATCTCCAAAGGAATATTTTTCCCGAATACCAAAATCCGAACGCGCGGCTTGCAAACCGGCTTATTATACCAGCCTCACTATCCCTTGTCTATTATTGAAACAGCTCTCTTAGTCTTCAATGATGCTAAATTGTCGGATCGTGTTCTACAGGATGTAGTCGACCTCCCTGGGTTCAAGCACGTCAATGCTAGAACGATTGCCGCCAAAAAGTGTAAACATGATCAGTTACATCCGTGCCATTAAAATATTACCGTTCCCTCTCAAATTTTGGTTATATACTAAGGAACTGACTGTTACTTAGGCTTATACACAAATCTGAGCATGCAATTACCTTACGAAACAATTGTATGAATTACTGGGTGCAAATAATTTGTTGTGAAAGGAAAAATACCAACACTTGTAGGCAAACGACCTGAACGTATTGGTATTTTTTCTATTCTATCGTATTTTCACTCGGCCTGATACGGTACACGTGTGAATGTTTGACACGCACAAACTGCTTAATTAAGAAGACATTTTCATTTGGAAAAAGAACCAATTCGACCTGAATTGCTTCATAGAAGCGGGAAAGGGTGTATGGTATCATTTTTTCATATCAACGTGATGGCTGCGTAAGGCATCGACCGGCCTGTTTATAAATTAAGGCAAAACTAATATCCAGATATTTGAATCTAGATTATGCTAGTTCACTTCGAATTCGATTACGTAATACTATACAAATTATAAATAACTAAAAACTAGCGGGTCGTAATCCCTGAATGTGTTTGGGGAAGCTGGCATTCAATAAAATATCAGGTAACGTCTCTTAACAGTGAAGACGTTGCAGAACTTCTAAGAATGACAGATTAGCTGATTAAAATATCTATAGGGCGTAATTTATTTGGTGGCGCGACATTCGAAAAAGGAAACACGCGTGATTTGATTATTGTCCGGATAAACACGGACTGTAGATTTATTATGATGTCAGTAATCAGCGATTCGTCCACGTTTAAAGCCGGTATTGTCCCTTTATCCAATAGTATCGATTTGCGGGGCTTGAATTAGTAACCCATGTCTTTTCCAGTCAGAGGCTCAGCTGGCCAAGCTGCTACTCAGCGTTGTTCGACAGAGATCTCTGTTAAAATGTGCTTAGTAAATTCCGCCTCATCCTTGACTCAGCGTGATACTATAATCGCATATGCAATAAATAGAATTGTGTCACCTCTCTACGATTAGAGCGTAATTAAATATTTATTAACATAGAGTTGTTTCGAAACTGCAAAATTAAAAAAGGTAATATTAAAAAAAATGTTCGCTTTCCCTTTCACGAAAGCTACGAACATGCTCTTCCTTCCGTGAAAACACGGCTGACACGTCAGATGTTTACGACTTAAAAACCTAACTCATCAACATTTGTATGGTAAGCACTGTGACACACAGTGCTTACCATACAAATGTTGATGTTACAGTAAGCACAGGTGAGTACAAGCGAATAAGTTTATGCATAAAAATGGTAAAAAGAAAAAGTCATACCTTATTGGCATGTAAAAGAACGCTACACATTGCCTTAAGATTGGTCGAAATTTTCCTAATTCTTGCCGGGGCTAAACGTGTGCCTGGTAAGGCCGATGAAATCTGTTTTGTCTATAGGTCCGTCGTCGACCCCCTTGAGCTTTTGAGTCTTGCGGTTAATTTGCTTCATACGAGGAGGCACCGACGGCACGTCGTCCGAGCGACCCTGGTGGTCTGAAAAACCCAAAAAATCTCGTCGTTCAAGACTGTCCCGAGGATGATGGCGGATCCGCTTGAAACCATCGCCTACAAAAAGAAGTAAGCGAGCAGAGTTGTCGTACTTGTTAGACTTGTTATAGCTAGTTAGATAAAGACGCTTCGATACAACAAACAGCAAGCATCCCTGCGAAATTTCAGCTGGTTCGAGTTGTACATATGCCAGTTTAACGAGTAGCTCCTGACATTAGTAATTTCTCCCCATGAGGAGTGTCGTACGTTTTGGGTTGAGTTGGGATATATACGTCGAACGTTGTCTAAAACGCTGTCTTGTGAAATACATTTACGACACGTGCACATTTGCCAATTTGCCGCTTTCTGGCATGTACCATTAATATTTTGCTAATATTTTAATATTTTTACCATTTTTTTTTTCATTTATTCATACCATTAATATTTTTCGGACACACGATACAATTTTGATGACACACAACAACAACAAGGCCAACAAATACCCCGTCATTAAAATTTGAACGCGCAGTATTTTAATTTTGTTTTTTTCTAAGACGTTTGAGTCTTTCATTGAATAAAGAATTTTCATGCTCAACTTAACATGTAAATGCCGACGCCTCCCCCACAGGTAGACTGTGGACGACTCGCCCTCTACCTCGGCACCCCATTGCAACCATGGCCATTATTCAATCCATCTCCGAAATAATGAAAATTCAAAGGTCTCACTTGTATTAAAGGAGAATTTACGAAATATATTTGATTCGACCAACATATAAATGCTATTCCCATATACTAAATAAGAACCTTGACTCATCAGCCACCAACCCCAATGCTGGTATAGTTTTGTCTATGCTCTAAAAATAGATCAGTGTAGGGGTAACTGAGCTAACTCATTTGCTCACTTGTTGTTTACTCTGTGCAAACAATTTTGCCGACTCAGTTAAGCTCATCTTCGTGATCGATACGTGGGCATGTTTGCAGATAACACCCCGTACTAGCTAATATAAGTAAATGGATTTTATCCACAACGAATTACTTATTCTCGCATATATATATATATATATATATATACACACAAGAACTTTATTAAAACGCCGGAGTCACTGCCAGCTACTGCATCAAACGTTAACAGGAACACTAATTACCTTGGAGTCCGGCGATTTTTTCGATAGGCCCAACATACAGTAGAAAATGGTTTGCTTTTATACCAGCCAGTACGTATATTTACATATATACATACACAGAAATAGATAACGAAATCGTAGAGAAAAGCACTGCCCGCACGAGGGCATGAGACGAGAATCTAGCACTGACATTTGCCAGCGACAATGTAAACTCAGTCGAAAATTAGCATGTTTATGTGCCGAATCAACGAGTGCTACCAAACAAATGGAGCAAAATGGCCCATGGCAAAGGAAGACGGCTCAAAGTGGCGCTGTTGAAGTCACTTTTCGCCAGCTACAACTAACAGCTACTTCTATCGGTTCTAGAAAAGCAAAGAGAGAAGAAGAACGCTGTTAGTGTACTTCAACGTAAATCTAAACGCAATTTCGACCTACAATAAACGTCGCGCCTTCAAGCAATAATAAGGCAATTAGTTAAAGTCTAGCGTATGCGTCAATGTGACCATTAATTGAATCTAATTTTTGTTATTCACTTTACATTGATTAAAAAAAATTTCCAGAGAGGTCAACAACATAACACGGTAAATCAGGACCACTATAGGCAGTCTGCGTCACCCCAGTTACACGGGTCTTGTAGTGTTCGTAAAACTAATTTGAAATTAAAGGGTAACAAGCGGCATGAGTTTGTATCGTCACGTTTGTGGAAACCTGGTTCTCTGCGGAGACTATGGTAAGGCTCAGGCACGGCAAAACAAGAGTGGACATGTCGGTCTACTTGGTTCGCCCCTTTCCACTCGTTGTGTCTCATCGTACCCAGGCAAGAAAAACCCCATTAATATCGGCTCTCAGCCCTTGTTCTCAATCTCCAAAACTCGTCTCGAAGGCTCTCGTTGCTGGGAGTTCAAAGTGACGATATAGGTTTTTGGACAGCAATTGTAATTCGGCTAGAAGGCATGCGAAGCAATCTTGGGTCATTATGTGTAGTCCCAATGCTCGTTTGAAAAAGGAGGCTTCGAAACGGTTGAATTGTTCGAAGCCCTTTATTGTAGAATTACCCCAGATGACGCATGTACCATACGTTACGATCGAGATCGAACAAACTCGACAGAAACGAGGCATAAGCGATGAATCAATTTGACCACCCATATGGCCAACAGTACTTTTCGGTAACATGCGCAGTGAGACTTTTTCCGTCCACGGAGAAGGGCAACTTAAATACGGAAACAGGGTTACATAGGCAAAACGCGGCTTGACAAAATTCAAGGTGTTGATGGCCGCTGTTCTATTTGTCCTTCGGACTTCATCGCCTTTGTCGTGCTCAGGTTACACTTGATCCCAGCGCTGTGAATGCCGACTAGAGCGGGGTAAGGGCTTGTTCCACTTGCAACCCATTCGACCCATATATATCAGTAAGTCATCCGCATACAAAATTATCCGCCTGATGTTCTTCAGCAACATCGAAAAAGAATAAGGGTAGTAATTAATAAGCGTTTTATGGTGATGATGATGATGATGGTGATAATAATAATAATAAGGAAGTGTCCAAATTATCCCCCCTCCGGTTGAAAATGAAATTAGTTTGGCTACTCCATTATCGATGGTTATTCACTTCTATAGAATCGCCGAGACAATCTACCTATCCAGAAGTCTACACTTTTCGACCATCGTTAGCATAACCTTGTGTATAGGCGCCGAGTCCAAGGCAATCTTGAAATCGACAAACACTACATCTAAAATTGTGCGGCATGAAAAGTGATCTTCTGACGTCAGCCATCAGGGACCTACATGCCGTCTATCTAGAGCGTTCTTGCCGGAACCCTTACTGCTTTGCTGGGCTCACCTATACGCTTTCTAAGCAGCTGTTTAGTCCTTTAATCAGCCAACCGGAAAGCAGCTTGAAACAAACGTTCTTCTTGGCTATTCCCCAGCATGACGAGCACACGGTTAGATTAGGTTTTTCTTTTAGGAATCGCTAAAGTAGCATCTCTCGACTGGGCTGCGAAAGCACCAGCGTATAAACATCTATAATATTAGTATTGTTCAGGACGGCGCCAGAACGACGGCTTATTTGAAATATACGTTGCAGATTTCATCTGTATCAGCGGTTTTTTTTTGTTGTGTAAGCTCCCAAGACCTTGCATGAGCTCCCGCACTGTGAGGTCTGGTTAAAGGGTATCGTGTATTTAAATCCCTCTTCCCACGCTGCGAGGAAAAAGGGAACCACACGCGGTGTCATATCTCTTGGCGTCGAAAAGCGATTCGTAAGGACCCGAGAGCTGATTAGGCAAGCCGCTAGCGAATGCATCGGCAATCAAATGGGTCTCCAGCTTTCAAGGTATTTTTGTTTTTGTAACACATACGTTTTTCGACAGAACGCCTTAAAGAGGGAGAATAAGATATAAAACTGGGACTGGGTTTCGGTCATAAGTTTTAATGCCATCTAGACCTTCCGAACAAAGTATAGTTAAACCATGGGCTGTGCTTCTGGGCGTACGATGATGTTATACTGTAGACTGAAGAATCTGAATCAGCTGCTACACTTAAATCTATATACATATATTATATACATGTTCAGCACTTCAGGTACAGGGAGAAATTGGTCAACGTGTTTCCTGGCGGCACGTTTCCTATCCTTAGATATGCAATTTAGACAGTAAGGTTCTCTGTATGTGAGCACTACTGCGTGCATCCTCTGACAGTAAATGATTCCCACTCTGAACTTTCATCCTATCCCTGTCTCAAATATACCGATAACCGAACTTCTCGCATGTCGTAGGGAAGTCGATTTCGAGATAGGAGTAACTATCTAGAAGCTGTGGTCTCCGCGCATGTAGTGGGTCTCGAGTTCGGTTATTTCAGGTAGGGGGTTTGGGGTAACTGGCCATGAACGGAACGAGAAGATAGCCGTTCCAGTATACTGACAAATTTCTCCATCACTACATACATTAATGTCGAATCAGCGGACTATACCTATGCTATTGCGAGACTTAGTCACTGGCCACGCAAGGCAATGACGTTATTTTCTACTAGGCATAAAGCGAGGTCGCGTACCTTACGGTTCTGGAAAACGGAGATGCCTCCAAAAGGGCGGCCTGGTGCGTCGTCCTTCATTGCAAAGTAGTGCATAGAATATATATGGGGTAAGTTAAAGGGGCTAGTTGTCCAAGTCTGTCTTGGCATGAAAATGACTATATTGTTTAGGGGTTTCGGGGAGAGGAGTGTTCCATCTCACAGTTCCACTGTGCAATTTTTAGCGTCTCCTCCTAGGCCTGGTCCCGCTGCTAACTCGGTGATCGATTTCGCGAAAGTCTGCCAGTCGCCAATACCGCCACAATTTCCTTCACAGAGTCCTCGACCACTGAGGCTGGCGGAGCCCGTTGAGCGTAGTCCAATCGTTCGACTTGCTACTGCCTTACTCAACGAAGCTTTATTAACGGTAACTTCGTTCTGCAGTCCTTTTGAAGCAGATTCACTTGTTCGAACGTTCAGCTCTGAGAGTTCAGTTGAGCTGGGTGGGTTTGCTGTTTAAGCCTCTTTGGGTTGTTGTGGTCGATAACCCTTGGGGGAATTTTTCTGGGTTCCTCCTTCTTTTGGTTGTAAGGATTCTCACGTTCAAGAAAGGCTTAATCCTCCTAGCAATGTTGTAGGCAGTCTTCCCCACCACTTCACCTCTATATTTGCACCACTCATTTTCGACATCCGGGCTCTGTGAGATGAAGGACATGAGCGCCAAAAATTTGGCATCTTCTTGACTAGCTTTTTCACAGTCATTAACTGGTATGAATTTATGCGAGGGAAATGCTCCGTGTGTTAGACTACTATATGTAGGGTCAAATTGATGGCTATGGGACTAAGTTAAGGGTAACGTCTAATGGCTGAACTAAGCATACAAAGAGAGTCAAATCTCATTTGCCATATATTGCATATATGCGCAAGATACATATACTTGCCCACTGTATGTAACACAAACGCAAAATGAAGACCCTTGGCCTATCAAAAAGCTTTTGCCCTTCCTCTACAGTCAGACATATTTCAGATTCAGTCAGGAGAAGTATTTCATATGGAAGAAGGACAGAATGTATTTGATTGAGGGATTAAAACAATTGAATTTGGATGTAAGTTTAAAGAGAATTGTATTTTTCTTTAATTAAAAGTTATGGCAAACGTTGCGATAGTTTTCGATGGGCGTATATCTTGGAACAGTGCAGCAGTTAAAGGTACAGTGCTTGAATAAGTTAGAATTGATTGTCTGCTCTCTAAAATGTTCGAGACAAATGTACCATTTACCACCTATTACCCATACCATGTGATTCCATTAGCCACACGTCCACTAAAAGTCCTTATTTACGTCAGATTTAGTCGGAGTTTCAATCCATATTGGACATGTTCTTCGGAGCACGTGGTAACTAACCCCAGTCGAAAATTCGTTCGGTCGAAAAAGGCCATAACAGTTTCTTGCTGATTCCTTTGCTTGTTTAATGGAGCCGAAAAGTACTTATATATCGTGATCGTTTGATTCTACTGGTATTTTATGCCACTGCATTCTGTACCATCATTTTGTCCTTAAATCTATACGAATTACGGGTTCAACGTCAAATATCTCTGTATCGTAGAGCGACAAGTTCAAGTTTTTTTGTTCAAAATTTTCAAACCACTATTGCTCCGGTAGTTATCTTAACTTGAAAAAAATGTTTCACGCTTTTCCCTACGAATCTTTCGTGGTAGTGCGCAAATAGTAGTACAAATTGGAAGAGTCTGGTTAATGCAATCCACCATCGAGGCGATCGTCATCGGCTGCGGCGTTTCGAGACCGATGGCACGCTAGCAGGCGAAGTGTACAAGCCGATAGATTTGTTTTTTCCTTGAGAAAAATCGTTTGTTCCTAACAATTTGAAAGAACAAATTTTCGCAAGACGTCTGGCCGTCAGCCAGCTCACTGCTGACATCAGCCAAATAGGTACCGGAATCGCCGACAGCGGATTTAGCCTAACCTATAAATGAACCGGTATGATACTTTCTGGTGCTAAGCGGATTTGCAAACTAAATAGAACCGTTCAACAGAGCTCTGTTCTAATTTCACATCCTACTACATTTACTGTAACTTAATTGGCATCCTTGTTAGAATAGAGATTTGGCGACCTTCATTCGTCGATGATTTTTATGCCGTCTGTAGAACTTCAAAAACTCGGTGGAGAAGTTTTTCAAAATTTCAAGTAATTTGTCGTTCCGAGCTACCAGCGGCAATCACTTCCGCTTTATTGTCGCAAATCAAGGATTTTCATGTCAAAAGGAACGCAAATAGGCCTGGTCATTTTTTTTGACGTTTTAGAGGATACCGAAGCAATCTGTTAACTGATTCAGCGACTCGAGAGAAAACAATTGTTTAGCTAGTTAGTGAAAGGAAGCCCCACTTTAGCCCTACTTTAGCCAAATATAGCCCATATTCGTGAGCTAATGTGTCGGAATTTTACAAGTTAGTCTATTCAAAAAAATGTCTAAGTGCAAAGTTTCGAATAGAAGAAACATCGCGTGGAATATAAGTATTTCACGGTGCATTAGCAGTCTCTAATATAGTGTCTATTTTAGACAGCACAGCCAAAACATGGTTCATACGTTTTTCCATAGCAAAAAAAACGTTCTAGAATAATAAGCAACAGGACGAGAACTCTGGCAATTTTAAAAGTTAACTTACCGTAGTCTTCAGCGAATCGAGTGGGCGAGGGCCCGGCGATATCACCGTATTCCTCATCGTTGAAGAGTCGCGCACCTCGCGAACCCGATGGCTCAAATCTCTCTACTACGTCAACGAGCGGATCTTCAGGCGCTGAAGCCAAACCGAATCGAACATCACTATCGGCATTGATGCGGCCGCCGAGTATTTCAGGTAGACGAAAAACATTTCCGAGCGTTTGAATGATCGCAGATGTGCTAAGGTTCGGCCTATCATCGTGGAACCGTGGAGCGGCTTCGATTACGCTGCTAAGGCTCAGTAACCCCGCGCTCGTCAGCAATGTCACCGACAGACTCATAGGCCATTGACTACTGACGGCCATCATGACCCGTCGCAACTAAATCTTGCTGATTCAGAAGAAAATAAACCAAAAATTAGGCCAGAAAATAAATTCGTATAGACGATATGAACTAGTTGCCAGTATGATTAACGATCCTACTTCACACGGCTGTTAGATGAAGAGAAATGTAAACTTTGCTTTAACAAAACACAGCAAACCGATCTCGTTTTATAGAAATGGCTGCCAGATATCGGAAAGGAGGTGAAGCACCAACCGCGCTCTCTGCAAAGTGACCTCTCACATTCTTCGTATTTATATAGGACGACAAGGGATAGATCGTTGAATGAAATTGGGTAGACAGTGCTGCGGATAGCACTTCTTTCCACCCCATTAAATGAGGCTTTCAACCTATTAGATACTCTGATGCATGCACTCCATCTCAAATTCTAAATGTCACCATCTGTTAATCAGGTTGTGTGTCATATATGTGAGTAAAATTGAGTCAGAGACACGATGCCAACCCGGGGCTTGGCTTAAACGATCGGAAGAAATTGCGTGAATCACTGTTTACTTATATAGACTCATTCGTGCATTGTTATATAGTGATTCGGTGATGAATCGTTGAAGGTCTGGAAGATACGAAACTTCGATGTGTAATAAGTGGTTCAAGGGTTTCTGCTAAAAGATCGTTACCTGCTAACTTAGTCGATGATTCACACGCTGATCCCTTCCTTTGAAGACAGGATGTTTTACAGTACCCTGTCAATAGTACGGGAGAAATAGTGAAACAGGATAGACTCAATGCTGTATGGGAGCGAATGTTAATTGAATCATCTCTAGTAAATCAAGTACCTTTTTTAAATGATATTTTGCCGGCGCCGTATCCTGCGCGTAAACTTTCTTCTCCAACACAAAAACAAACCATTTACTTACTGATCATACTGTGAAAAATATGACGCTGAATTTCTAGAGGCTTTTCACCTCAGTTAAAACGAACCATGTTGATTAGACAGTTAATGAAGAAAAACAGATGAGATTCATCAGCTTCTTGTTGGCCGACTTCTTTACAAGCGAAGTGCCATTGAACTAGGAGGTATTTCAAATAGCTCCAAACATGTAAACGTATAATATTCAGGACCTGGACCCTGTATTATGTACGCAACGTATTATTACGCAGTTTTATTTGATAAGTTATCTGTTTTATTATTAGATAATGCCGTTTCTCCTTTTATACGGGTTTCGCTTCAAGCAGCCTTGTGATTCCAAGGGCGACTGGCTTGTCCGAACTTTTATTAAGGTCCTATGAGCTATGCATGTACCTGTGATACGTTCTCTGTTAGAACGTCTTAGGTAAATCTGACAGAATCGCGTAGCCCTGCCCCTGGTTATCCTGGATCCTCAAACAGACATTTAGCATCCGAGAAAAACGCGTTGTTTATCAATAGCGCGTTGCTAACGCGTCTTTTGGCCTGTTACTTTCAGTTCACGCCCATCAGCTTAGATGTTGTACGTAGACAGTGAATGCTGTACATGGGCAGTATCCACTTAGAGAAGCGAACACGTTTGTAAAATGTACGTGAAGCTGACAAACAGAACTAGTAAGCTGCTTGTATTAAGCCGTACAGCCGGGTCTAGGGGTCCACCACGAGTGCGTGATCGCCGTTTATATTCTCATCGAACATAACACATACCCTAGCTGAATTTTCTTGCTTGCATTCTGCTATGCCCGTTCAAGTTTGCATAAGTCCGGACAACTCCTGTCCTTATCGTCCTCTTGTGTGCTCAAAATAATGGCGCAACTTTTCAGTCTATCGTATGTTTCTATCGCAACGTCTAACGCATTCATTGGCAATTGCCTTAGCATTGCCAGAATAGGTATTCAAAACCAAACCAGAAAATGGCTATCTATTTGAAAACGACTAACTACAATTACTGAATGTATTTATTAAATTTCCGAGTGAAGAAATTAACTTATTTGAATCCGGTTACTGATTGACATTATATGTAGACATGGCTAAAAGTATGATAATGCATGCCGAAGAAGAACGAGTCAGCTGCTCATCATGCCACCACGAGCGGGCTTTAATTCGGTATCTGACATATATGGGTCGCAAACACCAGAAATACGCTTTACGGGTAGATAGCAGAATGCTTCATAATCGATGTTAGTATTTTTGGTAGATCTTGCATGGTGAGGGGTCTGCCTAGTAGTTTAGGTTCGGGCTAGGACACAGTTCGTTTTGGTCTAGAAGGAAAAAGTCAGCTCTCACAAGCAATTCTTGAAGTACACAGTAGAACTGTACCGTGTAATATTAAGAATATCCATCCACTCTAGATAGCAGAGTGAATTACTGAAAACCACTGGCTTCAAATGAGTTGTGCCCTTCATTTGTTTTACATTGTTGAAAGATGCGCAATCGATTTTAAGACTACCACTACGGAGGCGCGTCTGTTTGAGTATCGTAAGAAAAACTTAGTCGTCCAGAAGGTAAATTCTTCTCTTCTAATTCAACATCTTGTCCTGCCATTGTATCTTATAATACGTCAGGCCTCCACAGTCTATCCAATGAAAATTAGAAGACGCACTATACAAGTTAAAAAAAAAAAATGGAAAGAAAAAAGGAAAGAAACATCAATAACAGCTTTTGGGCTGCTTAGGTATACAGGTTCTCTGCTTACGGTGTTAAATTATAGACATTTATTGACAATAGCGATTAATATACACTTGTGCCTGCTGGTGGCCATTTGTATTTGGTATTATGGTCTGATGTGTAGGATCCGCACTACGTAATTTCACCTAAGTTTCCCTGCCAACCCCAAATCCTGCCAACACATATTTCTCTTTTACCGCGACAGCCCGGAGCCTCATCTGACAATACAGTACACGACAAACGTGACTTTATAATCAAAAACTGTTAATCATTTAATTTTTCTATACACCTAAGTAGAAATCTCTTAGTACAACCTTTCAACACCCTACTATCCTACCTATTCTACGAGTTGCTATGTGTTACAACACGATGCTCAACCAACAAAAAAAAAAGCATATAAAATTTACGACTATATTATTCAATCCTTTTTATACTCGAAATTAATATTGCACCAGTTCTAGATACGCAGACAGCCGTCAAACAGAATCATCAGCAGTGACGCTTCACAAAGCAAACAAATCAAATGCGTTATTTTGAAGTCGGTCACGATTTGTACGCAGCACACGGAACTCTAAATCAAATGGACACGTAAAAATCCTTTCGATTTGTAATTCCTGCTAACTTTCTGGTGGGGAGATATGAGACGAAAAAGGTACTTTAATGCATTATTAAATCAGCTTATAAATCAATAAAAAAAAGCTTTTAAATTTATTTTTCGAACTGCTGGTTATTTTACTTTAAATGACTCGACCATATTGGTACGGACCCATTTAATAACCCACGAAGCAAAACTATGACTTATGTGTGTGACTCAGCGAAAATGACCCTTTTCAGTAAATCGGGCTACTTCCGGGAATCACTCTGCACATTGAAATAGCTTCCGTAGGCCTTGCTATGAACCTTATTAATAAAAATAGCTTAACGAAGGTTCAACCATACAATCAAGTAGAACAGAACAACAGGTGTACCTTCATCTCTGACAATGAGCTTCATGTTATTAGAATTATTTATATCTATTATTTAGATTATTATAGACGTCATATCCTTTTCTAATATGAAATCCTAAGGCACCTAATTTTTATGCATGTAAAGCTGGGTATTTAGGAAAGGGCACGTCTCCATATATCTCGACGTAAAATACCGGTACCGATCAGCTATTGCTTTCGGACGATATTTCCAAACTCTTTCAGTACAATCGAAAGTTGATTATTGTTATTATGATAGTTAATCTAAACATTTAGATCTGTACAACTAACTTATGGGATCTATGCCATCTGTTTGCCGGCCGCTTATTGTACATATTGTTTTAACACAATAGTTTAACCTGCAAACAAATGATTGTTCACAACTTACTCAATGTGATGATGTGGCTGAGCAAGCTTAAGACGCGGCCTTTTCTCGGAAACCGTGTGACTGTGGCTAACGTCGATGCATCTTCACTGAAATCCAATGCGATATTCGTTCTTCTTGCTAATCGAAGACCGCCGAGCTTCCAGTCAGATTATGGAAGGGTGTTGCTTTGGACTTTCGTATTTAGTAGTGGGGTGTCAGGGTACAGTTGTGATGACTAGGTTTGGCAAAAAAATAATTAATCACTTTAACGTCCCGTAACAACTCCCCCGTAGCTTCACAGCTGCGCAAGCATTTATCTTTATACTGTACTAAAAGAAATGGCACACTAACACTGGTCAGAATATGTACACCTATCTGTAGCCAGCCGAAAGGTCCGGCACTTTTACTGCCAGTTACAAGCTATTGCAAGTTCACCAATGTTTTCGACATTCACGTCATCTTTCCAATACCAGAGATAAGCCATATTTTTAAACGACTGCCTTTTGTCCGAAGGTGGCATTTAACAGGGTATATGCCTTGTGATCAGGTTGATGAAAATCACGTGATTCAAATCATGATTTTGGCGCGAGTTTTTGAAAAATGAGGGCGTGTGTACTGCACGGCAAGCGTGATTAAATAAGGAAAGGAAAACATTTATGGAGTGTATTTAAGGTCAGTATGGTCAAAGATCGTAAAATAATTGTCAAACATAAGTAGCCTGCTACCGCAAGGTTAGGCATCTTCGGAAGGAAACTATGATATATAGAACAGCGTGTGGTTAAGGCTATGACTCAGAATGCGTGAACAACAGCATATGCATATATATGTATATTTCTGCTGTTCTTTATGTAATGCACGATGTAGGGCAGCGTCAGCTAATTCACACATATGCGCCTGATATCTCAGTTTACTGAGGAAAATTAACAGCGTTTGGTTACACCTGCGAAAAGCCAAATAGTAGCATCTCTCAAAGTGCGATCTTGGAAATACGTGCGTTTTGTGCTGATTGAAACAATACGTGTATGTAAGTTTCAAGTCATGCTTTATTTCGCGTATTCTTCGAACTTAGCTTTAGCTGTCCACATCAACTTCGGTTAAGAAAACTCGAGATTGTCTTAATTTTCTATATTGAATTCATGAAGCCCATCCATATGTCATTCGGCTAGAGCAGAGTTAGAAGTCTCGTTTTTACAGAACATATGGCTAGTGCGGCAAGTGTATTTACGCAAGTTCCAGGTGTGTAGTGCTAGGGCAGACCCACACAGACCTGACCATCGTTTGAAGCGCCATCTGTAACCGTTTAACATTAGGGGATATTAAACTAACCATTGATATTTTTGTCACAGGTAGATATGGCCACATTAGGCAACCTTTCTTTCTTTTTTACTGGTTACATTAGCTAAAGATAGATTGCCAGTTCTTACAGATTCTACATGATGAAAACGAAATAAAAGTTCTGTCAATCTTCTATAGCTACATACGTCTGAGTCATTTGTTAAAAATCGAAACGCGGATGTCAACTTCACGAGCGACAAACTGTAGTACATTAGGCTTGACAGACCCGTTTATTAAACGAACAAGTATAAGCGAAATATCTCAAATGGAAATGTTGTTGAGTTTCATTAGGAGGAAACTGTATCTGACAAAGCAGAATCAATAAAATAATCTGTATTAATTTCCCTGTCAGGGTCAAGTCTGTTTGTGCGGTGCTGTATATACACAATCATCAAAAACAAATCGCCGACAAGGACAGATGTGTCACATATATGCTCCGTATTTTGATTTCTTTACTTCCGAAGTAACGCAATTTACTACGTATTTGAATACTAAATAATCAATAGATCGCACTCATGTTCACCTGAATACAACCCATGCAATGGCCATTCAAGCTCTCTGTCAATTTTCTCTGTTCAATGTCGTCTGTTTATCGATATAATTGAAACCAGTTAGTATAATACGTTTATGTCTCATTTTGTGGCAAGTGTACCTGATCTGGAACTGTTTACCTACCAAGCTAGGGGAAACTTCAGCTCAGCTCAGCTCAGATACCATCACTTCCCTCTTGCCGGTACCCAGTTGGCGAATCTAGTAGCTTTTCATAAGAATTCTGCAGACAGCTTTTTTTTGTCGACAGCCTCTGAACGGCCCCAAAGTTAACAATGACCATCGATTTGTCGTGCTCAGTCGATCTATTTCTGATCCGTATAGCCGATTAACGGATCGGCGTCTTTTTCCACGGCGAAGTCGTCAATCAACGGCTTGATAGTTGCAGTTGGAAGCTCTAACAATTTAGAGAGCACGTATATTTGTATTTGCGTTTTAAGGTTTGATGTTGACCGAAAGTTGTAGGGATAGCGTATTGTATTTTGTTAAGAAGCTGTTTGAAAACTTAAAAGTTGCGGCTTCCGTTATCAGAGCATCAAGTCCCTCACCAGATATGTTCAAAAGTAAATTTAGCGGTCTAACAGGAAATACCTTAGGCAGTCGCTGCTATAGGCTCGTAGAAATTTAGCCTAACTTCTGGTGACTAGTTAATAGCTGAGGCGATTAGAACTTCGTCTGAAGGAATCATTGCTAATAGGTTCGCCGTAACAAATATCTATATTACACAAAGCGTGTTATTAAGTAATATCTCGAAACGGCACAACAAACGTTGGACAAGCCTCTCAAATATATACTTTATACCTAGTCTTCATTCTGACTTGTAATAATTTAAGTATCTATGTGGTAGCGCTTAGCGCATTTACAGAAGCTGTGGCGCAATATTTTTTTCAATCGAACTGGCTACACTGTGTAGAATCGAATATTTGGCGTGAAAAAATAAAGACTTCCGTAATGGTAGTAAGCACATTGCGGTTGCAGGGCAAATAAAAGATGAGACATCAGCTACGCTAAAAATCGGTCTAAAAAATAAGCATAGGTTGAACGATCTCTAGTGCTTCGAGGGTAATACGTGATCAAAAGCTTGACGCAGTATGATGTTAAAACCCATTATTCTTCCCTTGCAAACCTTTGTTTAGTGCACGTAAACTATTCATAGCGAAGGTAACTTCATCGATCCCAACCGCCGTAATCGGCTATGCTTATATTTCCATTACGTTAAAGTTAAATGATACAAAATCAACGTCTATTACAGTTGTCCATTCTACAGTAATAATTCCGCCAGTGTAGATATTAGTTGAGCCGCCTCTACGTTCCCATTGCTTGAAGTCTATAAACGCTACCATTTCACCGGTCATATCGCTGCCTCTGTTCTGCGGTCTGAATTTGTAACGATCTCGAATAGTCCTTCTGTGTCCTGTTTACGCTTCCATGGACAGGATGTCTTTCGAGTCCTGTTAAAACAACATCAAAATAGTCCAGAAAAGCAAACGAGCTAGACTCGGGAAGGGAAACTGGATGCAACCTATAACTGGGTTTGCATCGAACGCCAAACAATATAAGCCACTGAAACACTAGCGACAGAGACTTCCTGTTTCACCAAAGTTTTCCGTTTAGCTGTCAACAACAAAGGCATCCTATTCGTGCGTGATTTTGTTATTCGTATAAAAACGGGCTAGGAAGACTACGGAAAAAAGGCACAGACAGAAAAGTTATACCTCACAGTTGCGACTCATGGCCATCCTAAATCAATTCGACGAGTAAACATGCTATCCGCATAGAGGGTATAAGGCCTAAATAATGTTAGACGTAGCAGCAAAAGTAATTGTCCTTCAGCTTTTTACAAAGCGACAGAATCGCATTGAAAGGCTGGAGCTCACGCCTGATCTAGTCTTGTTATCCTCGTTGCTTCAGGTACAATGAATTATGTTACGCGCTCGTTCGAAGGAATCATGCCGTATAGTATTTTATCTGGTATATTTGTATTATACAGTATACATAAACATAGAAAGGGCTGTAAACAATGAATATGTCATGGACCATGGTCTAGTTCCACTCATTGTTGGCTATGGATGATCGAGTACTTGATCTGCTCTAATCGATTGGTTTCGTGGACAAGCCGACGCCGGTTTTTCAGAATACGCCTGGCAGCAGATTCAAACAACCCTACGGACGAAAAGGTATTTATATATATATTTATAGTTATTGTTGTTTTTGTTAAAGCAAATGGCAACAACTACGCCGTGTTGAACCACGAGAGGTTCCGAAGGTCCATTATTGTTTCTTGTCCGTATAATATCTATAGGTACTACGAAATAAAGATCGTTGTACCACAGATAAAAAGTTCCAACGTTCGATTCTACTGTTAGCTTGACCATTATATATAACCGTCAACCGATTAATTTCTAAATTACTTTGGTCCAGAAGACCGTATCGTAGTCAACGATTGATAGAAAAAGTCATCATCATAGAACGATGTCCATTACGAAGTTTTACTAAATGCTTTTATATGTGACAGTAAAGCAGTCTAAGATGCGCCTGAACTAGTCACGTGACGACAAACCCTATTGCCTGCTGACCTCACTTCGGTCCTGTACGATAACATTATTCCATACGCTGTCATACGTCAAGAGCACACGACATAATTTTTTTCCTAGATGAAACGCTCTACAAATTTCGGCTTTAAAATCTCTCTAGATAATACTACGGAAGCCCTGAGATAAATTGAAATACAATCTATATACATGAGTTATACGTTCGATAATGTTTACGATATGATGTTTTTCCATGCCAGCAAACAGGCCGAGGCTACGTATGTGAATGATCCTGCATAGAAACTGTACATTTTGTCTCGGTCTCTGATCGCCTCCTTTTGTTTGGGCGTGTAATTTGGCGGAAAATTGCCCACATCGATTTCTTGCAGGAGAAACAGCATTCGAGGCAGGCATCGCTAACAGACCGGGGTGACATTAAGCGCGCGGTTTCGCTCCCTCGCCCTCCACGCCCAGCCCGGTTCTTGTTAATGGTCGAGGGGTCGAAAAACGGTTCGCATAATGGTCGCGTGGCAAGTTACCGCTATTGATCTGATTTCGGGGCTGAGTCCGATCGACAGGGGTAACGTTGTAGGGGTTTCATAATCGTATACGTTTGTTTAGACCGCGAATGACGAAGGTGGCCGAACTGTGGTCAGATATGTCTTAAATCATGCGCAGAGCTCATCGCTTGAACCTGGCGAACACTAAAGATCCATAAAAGAGTACGACTGGATTGTTGGAACTAGACATTCGATAGAATAACGCCTTCAATTTGAATATAAAAAGAGTCGTCATTTGGTCGATTGTAAATTCACGGCGTACTTTATATATTCTCTGCTAAGTATGTGCAGACATGGGCGATCGCAAGGAAAAGTTGCTTCTATCTGATGAGAAACCTCCTGGAAACTTATTCCGGAACTTGAATTCACTAGAGCTGATTTTATGTTTATATTTGCAACACACCACTTTAGAAGGTGCATCGTGTACATTGTCGATTAAAACAGACGCTTTACGCCATCTTAATGGTGTCTACTTTTTTGCGCCGTGACAATGAACTTTAACAAGGCTTGCACAACGTGCAGTCTGTCAGAACATGCTGTATCTGATCTGGACGATTCTGCAGGAAAACTTTGCTGGAATTGATGATGTAATGGGTCTGTTCGTCCAACCAACTGGCGTAGAACGGGATGATAATCTGTATTCACTGTTTTTCTCTTTGCTGCTCAATGATTTGCCTTTTTGCCTTCGTACGGTTCTCGTTATACGTAGATGAGGCAAGGCTGCTAGTCAACATAGACAAGACGCAGGCCACGAAATTCCTCGCATGAAAAATCTTCTTGTTGAAGCAGAATAGCTTCGAACTTAGAGGCCAGTTTCGAGTGCTTGGGTGTGATTCTAGCTACGAACGATTGAGCCTTTGCCGGGCACATCACGAACAGAGTAAGGCAAGTGATGGTGACCTGTATAAGTTATTGGGCCAACCGCTAGATTTTCCTTAGGACTGCTTCTGTTCGAAATTAAAGTGAACCCGGTAATTTCTTAAGGAGACCATGAAATATGGGAGTATCTGGTGTGGGCACAACTCGAAAAACTTAACCGATTTAGGACTGTGCTTTTATAGCCCGCCATTGAACTGCATCGCTCGTCGTTGGACACATGTATTTTCGAGGTGATAGACAGCCATTTATGAAGTATCCGAGTCTTGAGTTCGAACTTCTCACTACCGTTGCTTTTTTGCAGTTTATCAATGCATGGAAGAGAAAAATGACGGAAATCGATATTGACTATTATAGGGTGAGGGTGGCGACCAATGGAGCCTGAATGGGTCACACAAACCCCTCGACACACAGTTATGAGTTTTACAAGACATAGATTTGTGGTCCCGATCCTATGTGGTACACTAGGTTCTAATATGACAGACAATACGTGCCCTTATGCAGAATGTCTGGAGTATGTATCAGGTACCATGTGACGTCACGCGTCGTGCAACCTTCGTTGAACGGTCTCTCTGAGCAGAGACATCAGTTTCATTATATTAACTTTACACGTTCATACGATATAATTGTACCGAGATAATATATCCTTTCTCTCCATTCGGTGTAGAATTCATATATTATTATTACTATCAAGCAAAGTAAATGCAAACACAATCCGTCGCACATATAATAGGAGAGGCTGAACGTTTTTAACAAAAAAAAAAACATGAAGAATAGTGATACATAATGTTGAATTTATTGGATATTTTCCGAGCACGTTGACAGTTTCTGGACAAGCAAGTTATAACATGAATTATATTGTTAGTAACGAAATATAATCAACAACGTATATCTAATAAAGTTAAAAAAAAATATCGTTATTCGGTACTGTAACTATTACGCTTAAATGATATTCAAATACGCCTGTTTACATATGTATGCCCCTTCGCTAGTTCGCATGGCATTTTGACGTTACGTTATAGAACTTGAGCAATATTCGAATCGGAGATGAGGTCCTGCCCTATAGTTTCAGAGCAGTTGTGATAAACTCAACCTTACAATTCCCGTTCGTTTAAATATGTTAATATGGCGGAAAAACATAGTGGAGCTGTTGTTATTTATATTTTTTTACAATGCCTATTTGGGCTTGATGAGCGCCATAGCTTTCCTAGATGACTTACTCTAGTTCTGATAACGAGTACGTCAGCTTATTTTAAGTTAACTGTTATTCTTGAATTATTTCACACGTTTGTTTGCTTTTCGTTCTATTTTTTTTGTTATTATTTTAGAACGAAGCAAGCGCAGCGCACTCCCAATGACGATTCAATAACGAGTCCGCTCTGACTAGTTAAACAGAAATGCCAGTATTGAAGTTTACTTGCTTTTAGTTAAAAACTGAGGATAGTAAAAGTGGACAAATTTCTGCCCTGGCAGAAGTATCAGCAAAGCATATTAATGGATATCTTTGTAGAACAAGTGTCAGCTTCAATTTATTTCAAAATATAATTTATTACTGACGTTAACATACAATTACTGCATCTATACCTATATAATTCGTATAATAATATCTAATATATATATTCCACGCGTTTTATTAGAGGTGTAGCAGTCGCAAAGTTAGCATCCGGACCTCAAAAATATAATCAGTGTATTTTAAACCAAAATAGAACCTAATTCCACTCCCCAACTTTTCCCGCATCCTTTACATCAAAAATCCTACCTTTTACCTAAAAACCAACTACTAATATTCATTTCTACCTGTCTACAGTTCGTACATAGGTAGGCTGAGACAACGACTCTAGAAACACAACTCCGAATCACACATCACTAGCAGCTTTTGCTAACTGGCGACCATAACATCCGACTTTTTGCAGATATCTCGCCCGTTTACGTCAAGTTAACCTTACCTCCACCCACGTACTGTTTCCATCTGTTGCCTAATTCATAGCTCAACTTTAACATCAGAAACAATGAAAACCTAATGTTTATGATTTAACGAGTGGTTCTATTTTTCTGTAATGTAGGGATGTTTCCGATAGCCAACTCCTTCAAGCCCAAGAAGTGTCTGTGCGCAATTTCGAAATGTTACACTTTTCCGAGCAAACTCAGCACCACTGCATCGTCTTATAGGGAGCAATAAATAAAACTTTATGGGTCAACCCACCATAGTATGGTATTGGTACTTAGTTGCAATGGCCCATATTTACACAACGAATAAAACACGCGAAGATTCACGAAGGATCATTCGAAGTAAAAATCAGCGAAACAAGATCCTCGTATATAATTGTCTATAA